CAACAACAACAACAAAACCCAATTAACCAGACATGGTGGTGCACTCCTGTAATCCAAGCTACTTGGAAGGCTGAGGTGGGAAGATTGCTTGAACCTGGGAGGCAGGGGTTACAGTGAGCCAGTATCATGCCACTACACTCCAGCCTAGTTGACAGAGTGAGACTCTGTCTCAAAAACAAAAACAAAAACATAATAGCATGATTACCAGAGAGAATATTTGGAAATGTAACACCAAGCAGTGATAATATTATTAAACTTTATTTTTTAAAAAATATTTCATTAACAAAGATTCTATATATTTAAGTTGTACAGTGTGATGATTTGACACACCTATACATTATGTAATGATTATCACAATCAAATTATAACATATCTATCACCACTCATGCTTTATTCTAGATTCCCAGAACTTGTCCATCTTAAAACTGAAAATTTATGCCCTTTGATTAACACCTTCCCATTTCCCTGACTTTCTAGCCTCTGCAACCACTGCTCTATTCAGCTTCTATGAGTTTGACCTTTTAAGATTTTACATATGAGTGAGATCATGCAATATTTTTCTTTCTGTGTCTGACTTATTTCACTGCTAATGTCTTCTAGGTTCATTCATGTTGTTACAAATGGCAGTATTTCCTTCTTGTTTATGGCCGAATAATAGATATATATTATTATATTATATATTATATATTTGATATATATATATACACACACACACACCACATTTTAAATATTCATTCATTCACCAATAAACAGTCAGGTTTATTCCATATTTTGGCTATTTTGAGTAATGCTGTAATGAACATGGGAATGCAGATACTCCTTCAAGATACTGATTTCATTTCCTTTGAATATATACCTTGAAATGGGATTGCTGTATTGTATGGTAGTTCAATTTTTAATTTTTTGAAGAATCTCCATACTGTTTTCCATAATGGCTGTACCAAGTTACTTTCCCAGCAACAGTGTACAAAAGTTCCCTTTTCTTTACATACTTGGTAACACTTGTTACCTCTTGTCTTTTTGATAATAGCCATCCCTTCAGCTGTGAGGTGATATCTCATTGTGATTTTGATTTGTATTTCTTTATGATTAGTGATATTGTGCACCTTTTCATACACTATACCTGTTGGCCATTTTTATATCTTCTTTGGAAAATACCAATTCAGGTCCTTTGCTATTTTTTATTGAGTTGTTTGGGTTTTTTTCCTATTGCATGGTGTGAGTTCCTTTCATGTTTTGGGTATTAACTCTTTATCAGTTATGTGGTTTGCAGATATTGTCTCTCATCCCATAGGTTGTCTTTTCATTTTGTTGTCTCCTTTGCCATGCAGAAATTTTTTAGTTTGATGTAATTCTACTTGTTTATTTTTGCTTTAGTTGCCTATGCTTTTAGAGTCATATAAAAAAAAATTGCCAAGACCCATGTCAAGGACCCATGTCTCTGTTTTCCCTATGTCATCTTCTGGGAGGTTCACGGATTCAGAGTTTATGTTTAAGTCTTTAATGCATTTGAATTAATTTTTGAATATGGTGTAAAACAATGGTCCAATTTCATTTTTTTTTTTGCATGTGGATATTCAATTTTCCCAACGCTATTTATTGAAGACACATTCCTTTTGTCATTGTGTATTCTTGGTGCCCTTGTCAAAGATCAGTTGACCCTGTATGTGTGAACTTATTTCTCGGCTCTACTCTGTTCTTTTAGTCTATGTGACTGTATTATGCCAGTACCATGCTGCTTTGATTACTATATCTTTGTAATATAGTTTGCAACCAGGGGAATGTGATGCTTCCTGCTTTGTTCTTCTTTCTCAAGGTTGCTTTGGCTATTCAGGGTCTTTTGTGGTTTCTTATAAATTTTAGGATTATATTTTCTTTTCCTATGAAAAATGTCATGGGATTTTTTATAGGGATTGCATCACCTCCTTGCTTAAATTTATCCAATGTGAAATAGATCTTTCACCTCCTTGGTTAAATTTAATCCTAAGTATTTTATTCTTTCTGATTCTATTGTAAATGGGATTGACTTCTTTTTCACATAGTTTGTTGTTAGAGTGTAGAAACACAACTGATTTTTGTATGTTCATTTTGTATCCACAGTTTTACTAAATTCGTTCATCAATTCCAACAGTTTTTGGTGGAGTCTTTAGGGTTTTATTTGTAGAAGATCATGTCATGTGCAAACAGATACTTTAACTTATTCCTTTCTGATTTAGATGCTTTTCATTTCATTCTCTTGCCTAACTTCTGGCTAGGACATCCAGTGTTAAGTTGAATAGAAGTGGTGAGAGTGGGCCATCCTTACCTTGTTACTGATCTTAGAGGAAGCTTTCAGCTTTTCACCATTGAATATAATGTTAGCTGTGGTCGTGTCATATATGGGTTTTGTGTGTGTATGTTGAGGCTCATTTCTTATATACCTAATTAGTTGAGAGTTTTTATCCTGAAAGGATGTTGAATTTTGCTGAATGCCTTTTATTCATCTATTGGGATGAACATATGGTTTTTGTTGTTCATTCCATTAATGTCATTTATAGATTTGGATATATTGAGCCACCCTTGCATCCCAGGTATGAATCCCTAGTGATCGTGTTGAATGATCTTTTTAATGTGCTATTTAATTTGGTTTGCCAGTATTTTGTTGAGGATATTTGCATCTATGTTCATCAAGAATATTGGCCGGCAATTTTCTTTTCTTGTAGTGTCCTTGTCTGGCTTTGTTACTAGGGTAGTACTGGCCTTGTAAAATGAATTTGGAAGTGTTCCCTCCTCTTTAATTTTTGGGAAGAGTTTGAGAAGAATTGGTATTAGTTCTTTAAAAGTTTGGTAGAAATTAGCAGTGAACCATCAGGTCCTGGGCTGTTCTTTGATGGGATACTTTTATTACTGATTCAATCCCCTTGTTGGTCAGTTCATATTTTCATGTTTTCTACTTTTTCATAGTTTAGTCTTGGTAGGATGTATGCATCTAGGAATTTATCCACTTCTTCTAGGTTACCCAATTTGTTGCCATATAGCTGTTCACTTCTCTTCACACTGTTCTTCTCTTTTGAGGTAGTCTCTTATCAACCTTTGTATTTCTGTGATGTCAGTTGTAATATCTCCTCTTTCATTTCTGATATGTGTATATATATATATATATATATTTTTTTTTTTTTTGAGACAGAGTCTTGCTCTGTACCCAGGCTGAAGTGCAATGGTGTGATCTCGGCTCACTGCAATCTCCACCTCCCGGGTTCAAGTGATTCTCATGCCTCAGCCTCTCAAGTAGCCTCTGAAGGGATTACAGGCATGCACCATCATGCCCAGCTAATTTTTATATTTTTTGTGGAGACGGGATTTCGCCATGTTGACCAGGCTGATCTTGAACTCGTGGCCTCAAGCTATATGCCCGCCTCAGCCTCCCTAAGTTCTGGGATTACAGGCATGAGCCACCACACTGGGCCTACTTCTGATTTTATTTATCTGAGTCATCTGTCTTTTTTACTTTGTTAGTCTTGTTAAAGTTTTGTTGAATTTTTAAAAATCTTTTCATAAAATCCACTCTACTGTGGATTTTTCTATCGTTTTTCTCATCTCTATTTCAGTTATTTCTGATCTGGTCTTTATTATTTCATTCCCTCTACTAACTTTGGGCTTAGTTTGTTTTTATTTTTCTAGTTCCTTGATGTATAACATTAGGTGGTTTATTTGGAATCTTCTTCTCTTTTGATGTAGACATTAATTACTATAAACTTCTCCCTTAGAACTGATTTTGCCACAACTCATGAGTTTTGGTATGTTTCCATTTTGGTGTATTTCCATTTCTGTTTGTCTCAAGGTATTTTAAAATTTCCCTTTTAATTTATTTACTGACTCATTGGTTGTTTAGGACAATGTTGTTTAATTTCCATATTTTTATAAAATTTCTGAAATTCCTTCTACTATTGATTTCTAGTTTTATACTATTGTGGTAAAAAAAATACACTTGATATTATTTTAATGTTGAATTTGTTAGGACTTCTTTTGTTGCCTAACATATGATCTATCCTCCAGAATATGTGCTTGAGAAGAATGTATATTCTGCTGAGGCACAAAGCACAGATATACATGGAAGGACTATGGCTCTGGTATCTGGTGCAGTAATGTACCTGATATCTGGGGTGCTGGCACCCCTGATGTTGTGTTATGGCAATATGTAAGGTGAAAATGCTCGTAAAGTAGCTAGAGGGCCAAGAATGGGAGCACAGATGCACACAAAGTTAGAGAGACTCTGTCGTTAGGGGAAGGTCTAGTTCTCTGTGGCATCTGAGCTGGCACCTTGAGTTGGGTCATGCATAGTGAGGACTTGGTTCTCGAGCCTGGAGTGTGGACTAGCTCTTTATGTCAATGGCTCTGGTGTCTGAGTCATCAGTGGGCCCAGTATAGCCACAGAGCCTGGGTCTGGAGTGTGATCACTCGCAAAGAGGTTATGGCTCTACATTAAGGAATGCTCAGGGTTGGAAGAGGTGGTGGCTCCTTTCCTGAAGCAGCTCAAGGGGATGGCTACTTCTTGTGGAGAAGGAGAGGTATGCAGCTGTGTCTCCCTCTCTGGATTTCCCTAGTAGGAATGGCTGCGGGTTACCTCAGTGGCAAGGGATACTGGTGTCCTCTGTGGAGCACTCCTCTGGGTACCATGACGGTTCCCTGTGCATGACTGACATGCCACCTTTCTTCTTTGCTCATAGCTGTCTCCTGGTGTCTCAGGTATGCTGTTCTCACCAGAAATCCTTTCTCTGTGGGTAGTCTCCCTTTTTTTCTCCATTGTGCTGCTGCAGAATTTTTATTGGACCATTGAGCCCTTTCTGGTCTATTTTGGTTTGTGAATAGATGTTTGTATTTGTTTTTGTTGGGGGATGAAGGCTGATACCTCCTACTCCACCATCTTGGTCAGTTTTTTTTTTTAAATTTTTGAGACTTTTCTTTAGAGTTCCTCCTAAAGTAAAATATGATATTCTTTTGTTGCATGATTTTATCTACAGATGCCTACTTCATGGAAAAGAAGGAAAAAATAATTATGAGAACAAATACATGTTCACATCTCATCAGTGGGACCTGCCATATATGCCTACTTGTTATGTGTATCTTCTTTCAGACTTGCTCAAACAGACACACTGTGTTCTGCGGTGGACAGGTCTATGCAAACCTACCCCCAAAGTCCAAGGAAGCTGAGAGGCCAAAGAAAGAGGCTGATAAATCCAGTTTCTTAGAAAGAAACATTTAATAGGAACTAACAAACAGAAGCTATTGGAAAATCCAAATCCAGGGCTTACTTACCATAAGGAAAGGGTATACATGATTCAGAAGAAATCTGTAGGAAAATTGAAGTACAATAACATCAAGATTGTTTTGACCTAAGGGCAAGAATTATGGTAAGTATGTGCTCTTACACAAGGAACAATAGATAAACTGGAAATTTTTTGAGGCTTTCCTGGAACTGAGGTTAATCAGAAGTAAATATGGCAGATTAGCATCCAAGATAGAGTAACTTTAGCCTCCACATACTTATTTTCTCAGTTTATATGCTGTAGGGAGCACTAACAGAACCTTCAGATAATATTTGCTGTCACTTTTTAAATCTAAGGTGTCCAAAGTCTTAGAGTTTCCCAGGTGCCATCTAGCCCTAAGTAATGAACATGAAACAGCTTTCCATTTGTCCATACTTAATTTTCCATGTTTCATTTACACTATTACTCATTACATTGTTATACTTGTACATCTGGAACCTAATCTGGAAAATCTTGGTGCGAAAAGGCAGTGATTTCTGGAATTTAGTTTTCATGTGTCCACACTACTACACAAATCCCTTGGTTGGTTTAGAGATGCATCCCATTTAGAACCTGACCTGATTTTGTGTTATAAGTGCTGGGCATGTGTATCTTTTCCATTCCTTTTATTATTTTTAATTGCACAAGGAAGGTACTTTAAGAGTGTTTTAATGTGCACATGTTGGTTGTTCCTGGGCCCTGGGCTGAGTGAGACTCTGACTCAACTTATACCCCGAACCCACTGTGTCAGGATTCTTCCCCTCCAGAGACTGTGGTGCTGAGCCCTGGGTGGCTTCATGCAGTCTCTCCCCCTTTCCATCCCTTGTGGAAGTCACTGCTCGGCTAACTAGGTAGCTAAACAGAGGAGCCTAATTTCAATTTAAGGGGATGCATTTGGGAGAATACAGAGACAGACATTGTGTTCATGCATTTTGCATTGCTATAAAGGAATAATACCTAAGGTGAGGTAATTCATAATGAAAAGAGGTTTATTTGGCTCAGAGTTCTGCAGACTGTACAAGAAACATGGTGCCAGCATCTGTTTCTGGAAGCTTTTACTCATGGTAGAAGGCAAGGGGAGGTGGCATGTCACACGGCAAGAGAGGAAACAATAGAGAAAAGAGGAGGTGCCAGGCTCTTTTTAACAATCAGATCTTATGGTAACGAATGGAGCCAAAACTTACTCATTACCACAAGGATAGCACCAAGCCATTCATGAGGGATCTGCCTGCATGACCTAAACACCTCCCGCCAGCCCCACCCTCAACATTGGAGATCACATTTCAACTTGAGATTTGGAGGAGACAGATATTCAAACTGTATCACGCGTGTTATGAAACTACTTTCATTTCATTTCATGACCTTCGCTGAAATCCTGGGAAGAAGAGACATTGCCTGACAGCAGAATGTAAGATTCATTTGAGAGGCATGCTTGTCCTTTCCCTGGGCATCTGTAATTTCGCTGAAGCCACTCAGTTGGAGCTGTAATTTCCCTGATGCTGCTCAGCTTTTCCTGAAGCTATCATGTGGATAGATTAATATATTAGTTTTGTGACAACCATATTACCTAGTTCCTTTGGCTCAGGGATGTTCCCCATTCTGATGCTAAGCCATTTTCCTGTGGGAAGGACTGGAGATTTTGTTTTTTTTGGATTATTTTTCTCACTTCCAAACCCAACATGCTTTTGTTGGAAAATGCACAAAAGGAAAAATATCATTAGAAACCCTAAAAATTCTATTATTCATGAATAAGAACTGTTAACTTTTGAATATTGCTATAGTTTGAATGTCCCTTCCAAAACTCATATTAAAATTTTATTGACATTATAACAGTGTTGAGAGGTGGGGCCTTTAAGAGGTGATTAGGTTATGATAGCTCTGCCCTCATGAATGATTTAATGCCATTATTGTGATAGTAAGCTTCTAATAAAAGAATGACTTCAGCCCGATTTTCTCTGTCTTCTGCACTCACTTCTGCTTCCCACACTTCCGTCATGGGATGACCCTTGCCAGATGCCAGCACTATGCTGTTGGACTTGCCAGCCTTCAGAACAGCGAGAAATAAATTTCTTTTCTTTATAAATTATCCAGTCTCTGGTATTCTGTTATAGCATCAGAAAATGGACTAAGAGAAATAAACATTTTTCCAGAAGTTTTACTATGCAAATGTAACTATACTTAAAACAAAAATCAGATAATATCCTACTTATAGCTTTATAAACTGCCTTTTTATGAAAAACATCATATTTCGAAGGTCAATCTATATCAATCAATATAAATCCACATAATAACAAAAATGGCCATAGAAGCAGTAATGGTCTATTCAGGTATTATAATAATAATAATAATAATAATAATAATAGCTAATGTTTATTGTGATTTCCTCAATGCCTGATACTGTTGCAAGTGCTAAACATATACTTAATCATTTAATCCTCACCATATTATATGATGAGGTACTGTTGTTGTCTGACTTTAAACATAAGGGAACTGAGGCATAGTGAGGATAGGGCTAGCAAGTGCTGAGACTTCAATTTGAACACAGGCTGTGTGGCTCCCAAGCCCTTACATCTAATCAGTATATGCCACTGCCTCTCATATGAGAACACCAACCGTATTATTTATCAGAATAAAGCAAAATATATGAAATTAAGATACTACATTTTTCCCCATTTGACTAAGCAGAGATTTAAAATATTGAAAAAAATGAATGTGATTTGGAATTTGGGGAAATGTGTCCTGGAATACTGTGGAAGGAGCTGACCAGCATCTTGTCTCCCTTCCTGTTTCTCAAAGACGTTCCTATTCTGAAGCGAGGGGCTTTGCTATAGGTGGAGCAGAGAATGGTTATGTTTCCCAGTGATTTTATTCTTTTGCATATTTATAAGACCAATAGGTGTTTATTACAGTTAAAAAAGTGAAAACATAGGACATAAAATAAAATAACCATTCCTCAAACATAACACCTAAAAATAAGACCTGCTAATGTTTTCATCCGCATTATTTTCTTAGAAGTTTTCTCATGTAGGAATTTATACACTTATGCATGTATGGACGTATTTATATATTTATATGAAAAAGACAAGATCTCATTTTAGTTTTTTAACCTGCCTATGTCAATATAGTGGGTTGGATAATATCCTCCAATAATATATGTCCAAGCCTTAGCCCTTAGTACCTGTGAATGTAATATTATTTGGAAATAGAGTCATTGCAAATATAATTTAGGATCTCAAGATGAGATGATTCTGGATTTAGTGTGGGCCCTAAATCTAATGACTGGTGTCCTTGTAACAGAGAGGATGGGGAGATTTGACATACACAGGAAAGAAGGTCATGTGAAGAAGGAGGCAGAGATTGGAGTTATGCTGCCATAAGCCAGGGAAAGCTATGAGTCACCAGAAGCTGGAAGAGGCAAGAAAAAAATTGTCTTCCCAAGCCTTCATGGGGAGTATGACCCTGTCAAAACCTTGATATCAGGCTTCTGGTCTCCAAAACTGTAAGAAAATAAATTTCTGCTGTTTAAAGACACAAATTTTGTGGTAATTTGTTGTGGTAACCCTAGGAAACTAGTATACTCACTAACAACATATCTAAAATCTAAAATGTCATTAATTGTAAATAAACACCAGTCTATGTCTTATATTGATGTGGCTGTAAGGATAGTAATATCAGTGACACATTAAAGAAATTTTAAATTGACTAAAATTTCTTGTAACAAGTGATTTTTATATGTATTGAGTCATTCACTGCTCATAGCTCCCTTACGAGATAGATATTGTGGCTAAATCTCTGTTTTATAGATGAAAAACTGAGGGACAGAGAGAGTGACTTTGCCCAAGACTACACAGTTAGGGAGTGGGTCAGCTTGGATTTGTGCCCAGTACATGTTGCTCCAGAGCCTGGAAGCTGTCACAAATTTGTTAAGTGAAAGCAGTCTGCACAAGTGAGCGTATTTTAGGAGGTCATTAAAAGTAATACTAAGTGTTTTAATACAGTTACACATTTACGCAAACATTGGACCTAGTGACAAAAGATGGTTTGTGATCTTGGAGAGCCTGTTCATTGCAATCAAGGGACAGAAGCCATAGTAGGGGGATAAGGAGTCAACAAAGTGAACAATGTTAACAGAGACTGTAGAGAACTGTTTTTGGTATTTTGAATTTGAAGGAGGTAGGGAGAGACAGAGAGAGAATGAATTAAATATCCTATTGCTGAATGGGTAATAAGGGGTTAAGGAGGGATATTTTAGAATCTTCAATTCCTTTAAACTTAAGTACATTCAAAAGTTAATGTAAAGGAGCTCTTTAATCTCAGATGTAACCTTGAAGTTGTCCATATATTTATTTCCCTACTACCATCTCATTTCTATTATGGAGTTAATGAGACACCTCCATTGGAATACTATGGGCTTTGAGTGAAATACAGATTTAGTTATTAGTGATTAAAAGTGAGAAAACTGTGTGAAAGAACTGCTCATAACTCTTGGACTTTTACCTTTCAGGGAGGCAGCAGGTGGCTGAAATTCTGGCGTGCTGTGACTGGATAATGCATGATCTGAGGACCCCTATACTGATGACTGTGGATGGGGCCACATTTTTTTCTACAAATATATTCATATACTGAGCAGTCAGGAGCAGCCCTTAGGCAAATACCACACCTTGCTTCTCTGGTGTGATTGATATCTGAGCTCACCAGGTGAGTTCAAAAACATGCCCATGTTCCCAGCATTGGGAACTGGCTCTGCTGAAAGGCCTGATGTTGGCCAGCTTTTATGAGATTATGAAGCACCCAAGAATGTAAAGAACATTCTGTTTCTAAAACTTTGAACTCAAGGCATATCAGAGAGAGATTTGCCTTCCTTATATGGATGTCTGTGTTCTCCTTAGGAGAGAAACAATGAAAAATAACTTTTCACAATGCCTGCCTTAGCCTTGAGGCTCAACCAGCCCCCATTTCTGTGTCTCAGCATTTAAAGGGCTATTGAATGCTATATATTCTCCACAGGTTTTCTCATTAACTCCTCAGGACAGCTCTGTAAGGATGGTATGGTCAGTCCCATTTCACAGATAATCAGGCTCAGACTCACAGAGTCTAAATCACCTAAAGTGGCAGGATTGGAATGAGGTTCCATCTCTCACCCTCCCTAGAGGACCCTGAGCAGCCTCCCTTTTAGAAGATGGGCTTCCGGGACTTGAGAAATGGTCAGAATCCATTGCCCTGCTATTATGGACCCATGCATCCTCACTCCACAGCCCCTCTGGGTGATGAAGAAGACAGAGAGATGATATCCTGCCCCTTGTGCCGAGAGACCTGGTTGTTGGGCTGCATGAATTGGCTGATTCCTGAAGTGGTGAGTGGGCTCAGTCAGAAGCTCAGGTGTTGGCTTTGGGACAGGTGGGCTGGACAGAAGGAAAGTAACATGCCCTGAACTACTGAAAGCAAATGCACTCTATATTTCATCTCCTTTAATCTTTTTGTTTTTGTCTATTTCGGTAGAGACAGTGTCTCGCTATGTTGCCCAGGCTTGCCTTGAATTCCTGACCTCAAGTGATCCTCCCACGTCAGCCTTCCAAAGTGCTGGGATTACAGTCATGTACCACCTCACCTGGCCTCCTTTAATCTTAATTGCTATCCAAGGTACCCAGTATTCAGATGAGGGTGCTGCCGTTAGGGGAGTTTTTTCGAGGAGAAAACTTTATCTCCTGACCAGCCGCTAACTCTGGAATACTCTAAAGTTTTATCATTTTCTCTTGATGCCTCCAGGTCTCTGAATGCTCTAATCTCCCTCCTGGCTGACAGTACGGGCTCCTCAGGTATTTTCCAAAGTTTTTTCTTTTTAAATTATGACATGTATAATTTTTAAGTCTCATTATGGAAATTTAAAATGCTTTCCAAATGAAAAATAAAAACCCAGTAACAATTGTATTAAAACGAGGAAGGAAACACTTTTAAAACTACATCTCAGATATTGGGTTGGTGTCTGTGATTTGTGAAACATAGTTGTTAACAAACTGGCAACAATTTCAACAGATAATTCAAATAAGTATATACGTGAACAATAAATATTAAAAAACAGAGACACCACAAGAACTAATGAGATGCAAATATTTTAAAATCCTGAGAATTTATAATAAGTGGAAACAACAAGATACAAAAGATGAGGACTGTGATTGCACATTTGGAACAGACAATGTGTGTGTGTGTTGGGGGGAGGGGTGAACGTGTTCATGTGCACCTCACAGGGACACATCTAGAGAGTATGCAGAATCCTGGGGACAGCAGACCCCTTGGAATCAAGGGGTGGGAGTTGGACCAGTGAGAGTGCAGATTAATTTCAATTTTTGAATGTATTCATATATTGTTTGAAATTCAGTATTTGGGAATAAAGTATTTTGATAAAGATTTGAACACACAAGAAACTTTTGAACTGATTGTCAAAGGTAATATGCACATATTTTCATTAATTTGAAAAAGAATTCATTGTGTTATATGGTGAAAGAAATAAAACATCTAATTGACTGTGTGTGTGTGTCCTCTAGCTCTTATCACCCCATATACACACTCACAGATGTAGCATTATCTTTCATTCGGGTGGGCACTGTAACCAATCTGAGTTTTATATATCCTAAAACGTGATGAATACAAGGAGACTGCTATCATTAGGTCAATAATTCAAAAAAACCTCTGGCTGATATAGTGAAACTAACTTCCAACCTCAATCCCTTTCTCTCCCCTGCTGAGCCTCTGGTCTGACTCTCAATGCTGCGATCCTGTCTTTGGCTACCAGGAGGCATCACAGCTATCTCCATGTCTTTTGTTCTTTTATTTTAGAAAAGGAGTACATTTTGCTAAGAGTAACAAATGTTGGCCGGGCGCGGTGGCTCAAGCCTGTAATCCCAGCACTTTGGGAGGCCGAGACGGGCGGATCACGAGGTCAGGAGATCGAGACCATTCTGGCTAACATAGCGAAACCCCGACTCTACTAAAAAATACAAAAAAAAAACTAGCCGGGCGAGGTGGCGGGCGCCTGTAGTCCCAGCTACTCGGGAGGCTGAGGCAGGAGAATGGCGTAAACCCGGGGAGGCGGAGCTTGCAGTGAGCTGAGATCCGGCCACTGCGCTCCAGCGCCGGCGACAGAGTGAGACTCTGTCTCAAAAAAAAAAAAAAAGAGTAACAAATGTTATGAAGTGATTTGTTTACTATGACACCAGTTCTATTTGGAAAATTCACATATTAAAGCAGGTCCATTTGCTGTTGACTCCAAATCTACATCATGTTCATTCATTTATCTCTTCTCTCCACGATATAGGTTGAGGTGTCCATAAGGTGGATAGGTTCCTCCCAGAGAGCAGGGCGTTCACTCTTCATTACTGCACCCCTGTACAGGCTTCCTAGGCCTTCTCCCAACCCCTCTCAGTCATCCTCTCTCCTGGACACTATGAACACAGCTGCCCAGGTCCTATATCAGTGACCCATCCACTCTCAGCCACCTCCTGCCTGCCCTGCACTGACCAATGACGACTGGTGACTGCCAAGAGGCACTAGAGCTACCTGGTGTTTCATGGCATGGATTTCCTGGAGCATATGTTTTTACAGTCTTCTTTTTTACCCCTATCATTTTTTTTTTCTTCCCAGTATGGGGAAGTGGATTTGGGTCTGCTCAGAGGCATGACGTTGAACAGCTTTTATGAGATTAGAAAACACCCAAGAATGTAGAGAACATTGTGTCTCTAAAACTTTGAACTCGAGGCATATCAGAGAGAGATTTGCTTTCCTTATATGGATGTCTGTGTTCTCATTAGGAGAGAAACAATGAAAAATGACTTTTGACAATGCCTGCCTTAGCCCTGAGGCTCAGCCAGCCCCCACTTCTGTGTCTCAGCATTTAAAGGGCCATTGAAGTCCCACTCCATGCTATATATTCTCCACAGGTTTTCTCATTAACCCCTCAGGACAGCTCTGTAAGGATGGTATGGTCAGTCCCATTTCACAGAGGCTCACAGAGTCTAAGTCACCTCCCCAGGTAAGTGGCAGGATTGGAATGAGGTTCCATCCTTCACCCTCCCTAGAGGACCCTGAGCAGCTTCCCTTCTAGAAGATGGGCTTCCAGGACTTGACAAATGGCCAAATTCCACTCCCCTGCTATTGTGGCCCCACGGGTCCTCCACTCCACAGCCCCTCTGGGTGATGAAGATGACAGAGGAGGTGAAATCTTGTCCTTTGTACCAAGAGACCTGGGTGTAGGGTCACACGAGTTGGCTGAGGTGGAGAGTGGGCTCAGGCAGAAGCTCAGGTGTTGGCCTTGGGACAGGAGAGCTGGAGGGAAGGAAAGTAATATGCACTAAACTACTGTAAGCCAATGTACTTTATATTTTATCTCCTTTAATCTTTTTTCTTTCTTCTTTTTTTGGTAGAGACAAGGTCCTGCTATGTTGCCCAGGCTTGTCTTGAATTCCTGGCCTCAAGAGATCCTCCCTCCATGGCATCCCAAAGCACTGGGATTACAGGCATGAACCACCTCACCTGGCCTCCGTTAATCTTAACTGCTATCTGAGGTACCCATTATTATGACCATTATTCAGATCAGAGTGCTGCCTTTAGGGGAGTTTTTGTGAATCCGGGAGAAAACTTTGTTATCTCCTGACCAGCAGCTAACTCTGGAATACTCTAAAGATTTATCATTTTCTCTTGATGCCTCCAGGTCTCTGAATGCTCTAATCTCCCTCCAGGCTGATAGTACGTGCTCCCCAAGTGTTTTGCAATGTTTTTTCTTTTTCAGTTATGACATGTATAATTATTAAGTCCCATTATGGAAATTTAAAACATTTTCCAAATGAAAGATAAAAACCCAGTAACAATTGAATTAAAACAGGGGGGAAAACATTTTCAAACTACATCTCAGATGTTGGGTTGGTGTCTGTGATTTGTGAAATGTACTCATTAACAAAACAATTGGCAATGATTTCAACAGAAAATTCAAATAAGTATATACATGGACAATAAACATATTAAATATGCAAAAGCCACAATAACTAATAAGATGCAAATATTTTTAAATCCTGATAAATGGTAATAAGTGGAAATGACAAGATGAGGACTGTGATTGCACTTTTGGAGAAGACAATGTGTGTGTGTATGGGGGGGTGAATGTGTTTATGTGCATCTCACAGGGACATGTCTGAAGAATATGTGCCATCCTAGGGACAGCAGACCCTTTGGGGTCAGGGGGCAGGAGTCAGGTCTGTGAGAGATGCAGGATAAAATTCTTATTTTTGAGTGTAATTTTGCATATTTTTAAAAACTTTATATTAAAGAGAAGAGTATTTTGATAAAAACTTGAGCACAAAAAATCTTTATGAAGAGATCAACAAAAGAATTGTATATATGTATTCACTAATTTGTGAAAACAATGTATTTGATTTTATGGTGAAACAAAATAGATAAAAATTGAATTGACTGTATTTCTACGTGTGTGTGTGTGTTTGTGTCTGTTTCTCCTCCAGCTAAATTACTCCAAATACACACTCACAGGTACAGTTTTACCTTCAATTTAGAGGTTGGTGGTCTAGCACTAATCTTGCTTTTAGATACACAGGAAAATGAAAGACACAGAGAGATTGCTACCATTAGGTGAATAATTCCAGAAAACTTTGGGTGATACTGAAGTCAAGGTCCCAACCTCCATCTGTCCTTCCCAGTTGATGAACCCCCTAGTCTGAAACTCTCAGAGCTGCAATCCTGACTCTGGCCCGAAGTGATATCTAACTCCATTATTATTTTCCTTTTTCTAATGAAAAAGAGTACATTTTTCAAAGAGTGTCAAATGTCTTGGGATGGTTTGTTTGCTGTAAGTTTTCTTTGGAAAATTCACATGTATATTAAAAGCAGGTCCATTTGCTGTTGACCCTAAATCCACATGCCATTCATTGATTTATTTCTTCCTTTGTTAGTGCAGGTTGAGGCGTCCATACTGTAGAGGGGTCCCTCCCAGGGTGTAGGGTGTTCACTCTCCATTACCCCACACCTGTACAGGCTTCCCAGACCTCCTCTTAAGCATCCCCTCTCCGGGACGCTATGGACACAGCCGTCCAGACCCCATTCCAGTGCCCCCATTCTCTTCCACTCACCTCCCGCTGCCCTGGTTTGCGCTACACCAGCCTGCTAAGGACTGCCAAGGCTCGCTTGTCATACATGGTGTTTCATTGTATAGATGCCATGGAGTATATGTTTTTGCAGTGTTCTTTTACACCTATCAATTTTTTTCTGGAAGAATTAGAATCATTCTGTCCATAGGTTCATAGACTGGGTTTTAGTGGAGGGTATTTTATTTTTTTGCTCATTGCGTAAACGTCTTTGTAGAGGTTTGACGATGAAGGTACGTTGGTGCCCCCTCGTGACAGGAGCCTGAACTGCAGCTTTTACATCTGAGCAGGAAGGTGGGAAGGAGCGGTTTAGCTCAAGCCCACTCTATGGAGTTTTCTGGAAGTCTGGATAGAAAATGGAGCAATTCCAGGCTAAAGGAATATTGATGGCCT